CCCCAAAACCCCAAAACCCCAAAACCCCAAAACCCCTTAAACCAAAGACTTATTTGAATTAAAATTTAGAAAATGAGTTATTCTTACAGTACGAAACAGTACGATGCAGGTGGCCTCAAGTCGAAGGTGAACCATCATGAGTTTTTAGAGGTCAGAGATGGGCCAGAGGAGTATGCAGGCTTTGATCTAGAGAGATTTAAGGGAGGCCTCATGGATAAGTTTGTAAGAGATACTGAGGATATTGCTAATGAAAACGATAGGATTAAGTCAGACGCATTGACCAGGATTGATGAGTATGAAAGAAATAATATCAATGAAAGAGAGTTCGAAATGGGTGAAGGCAGCCTCTCTTTCCAAAGAAAGACAATCTCTGAGAAAGTCTCCAGTACGAATCAGGAGTTTGATAGATCAACCAAAGAAGCAGCAAGCGAAAAGAGAAGGCTTAGGGAAGAAATGGCTGATTTAGAAGACGCTCTCAGGAAGGTCAGAGATGAACTCGCTGAGACAGAACTTGAAAACCAAAATTTCCAGACCATTATCAATGCTTTTGAGGATATCCAGGGCCAACAGAGGGATGCTGAAATGAATGCTGTGAGAACTGTGAATACAGATTTGAAAGACCAAATCTCAAAATTAGAGCATGAATTGAACTTCGCTGGAGGAGCTACTGATACTCTCAATATGAAATTTGGCCTTGAAGAGAAGTACTCAAGCGCTAAAGGTGATTTTGAGAACTTTATATCTGAAGCCGAGGAAGGTAAAAAGAGAATTGATGATGAACTTGCCAACCTCAGGCACAAAATTTCTCAGAAGAAGAATGAAAACAATGTCCTTCACAAGGATGTTAATGATAATGAAAGTCAGATTAATAAGCTAAATGATGAGATTACTCGTCTCTCAAGAGATATCGAGCAACTCAAGAAGAAAAATGAGAACAACATCAAATCTCTTGAAGATGATAGAAGTAGAGCAGAAAATGATCTGATCGATACTAATAAGAAGACTGCTGACCTTAAGCACGAGATAGCTAAACTCAAGATCTTGATTGAGAAGACTAGAAATGAGATTGATTATCTCACCAGTGAGAAGGACAAGGCTAGAGGGCAAGGATATCAACGTAAAATTGATGAATTCAATAATGTCATCACTGAGTCTGAGAGAAGAACCAAGAAGCTTAAGGATGAGCTTGGTACACTCAATAATGAGTGGAAGGATAAGGTCACTAAGACCTCAAAATTAGCTTCCAGTTCTATTGGCAGAGGTGAGGGTGAAGAAGTTGCAAAGAGAATCAGACTTCTCACAACAGAACTCAACAACAAAAATAAAGAACTTGAAAGCCTTCGATCCCAGAAATCAACTCTTGAGAGGGAGGTAGCTGATGACGGAAGTGGCCTAGACGATAAGATCAACAAGCAAAGAGACCAGCTTGATGAGCTCAACAGGAAATACCTAGCTTCTTTAGAAGAGAAAAATGGAATCAACGAAGAACTTACAGAACAAGTTAGGAAACTTTTGGATTTGAATTTTGTAATCCAAAAGAACTCCGAACAAATTGCTATTGCAAAACAAGAAATTGAGTTTTTAAGGAAAGAAATTGAACAAAAGAGCAAGCTTGTAGGAGACCTTGAGTACGAAGTCGAGCAGAGAAGAAACCTCATCATTGATCTGAGAGAAGAGATCGCTGAGAAGAACCTCATCATTGATGAACTTGAGCAGCCGAGAGATGAAATCGATACCATTGAGATGCTTATCAAAGAGAAAGATGACATTATTAGGGAACTTGAAGCTCAGATAAGAAACAGATCGATTAGAACGAAGTCAACAATTAAGGAGACCATTAGAGTAGAGTCTTCATCAAGTGGATTCACCCCAGACTCTGGAGATAATGTAGATGTGATGCTTCATGATTACATTCAAGGAGCTGAACACTCAATCCCATTCAAGAAATTAGGCGGTGGACATTACATGTTTGGAACTAAGAAAATATATGCAAAAATTATGAACGGAAACTTGGTGGTAAAAGTCGGAGGCGGTTTCATGTCAATCGAAGAGTTCATCGAAGCCTACGGTGAATCGGAATTAGAAAAGGTTAAAAACAGAAGAGCTAAAGGCCTAGATATTTTTGATGGCTCCAGTAGGGGATCTCCAAAAGGAAGATACTAAAGAGTTCAAAATAATTCACTAAAGAAGTTGATATTCAAATTTCATTTTTTATCAAATAAAGAGGGGTTTTGGGGTTTTGGGGTTTTGGGGTTTTGGGG